CTAAAACTAAGTAGTTAGCTTTAGTATAATTAGTGGTAGAGTGTTTAAAATTAGTAAGCTAAGAGGCTTTGATAATAGAAGGTCTAGGGAAACGTATAGATTCCTGAAAATAGATCTGTATCGAAAAAAGACTTGGTAAAGTTAAATGAACGTTGATGATCTACATATTTATATAGTAAAAATTTTTCAATTCACTATATTTTAAAATTGTATTAATGTACGCTTTTAATCAACTATATAGCCCGTAGTTTGTACTAGCTTGTAATAAAAAAAAGATCCTTTAAAAGTCAGCTTCGTGAAAAGGATCTGGGAGATAAAGATAAAATCTACGCTCTTCTTTGTCTTTTAATATTTAAAGGCAAAAAAGAAATTAAATAAATAAAATACTATAAATAAATGTAATAAAGCTCACAGATTAAGTTTTACTAATCCATGAAGGGTATTTAGAGGGTTTTGCGGGTTTCTTTACACAAACCGAAAGTATGTATAAAATCGTTGTGTAACGTTACTATGTAAAATCAGTAGGTGTGACATCTTGCCTGACTGATATTGAAAATTTTCCAACAGTGAAAATTTCCGATAAGGGCTTATTTAAAATAATACTTATAAACTCTAATAGATATTACACTTTAATTGTTTTTAAAAATGGATAAAATTCTATATTCAATTTGCATTTGTAATTTATGGGCAACCCGGGCAATCCGAATTATTATATCAATCTAGAAAATAGTTTTAGATGCGTACATTTCATGTGCGATTATTGTGTTATAAACTGGTTTTTTCTTTTTCGTATATATAACCACATGGTGATACATCAAGACTCCACAGAGCCGTTAGCTGAGCTATTTAACTGCTCGGCTTGTGTTACATAGGGCTATATTAGATCCGTTAGCCGATCATAAAGTTCCAGATTAACTGACAGCAATAATTCTGATGAGATTTTACTCTAAGTAAAATTAGCGGAATTTAATAGAGATCTATTCATATATGTACCAAGTCAACGAAAACATATTTAATAATACAAGTCATAGCCACAACTCTTGTCGTCAAAGCTCCATTATAACAAGCTGTAGCCGATCCAGAGCCAGCCGTTTGTACACTAACATATAACCACTTTAAGTGTATACAATTTGGTCAAAATGTCAGTTACGGCCATACACAGTGAAAGGCTCCGGAACCCGTCCGATCTCCGCAGATAAGCCACTGATGGCCCAGTCAGTACTATGGTTGGGGACAACATGGGAA